TTTATCACTACAAAATATATATTTTATGCAAGCGTACGTATCGTTCAAGTAGTATCAGATTTTTAAGTCTGGAGTGTCGATCTCACAAAGAAGGCTGTTATTTTGAAGATTTAATAAAAGTTCTAGCCTACAATAATAAATCTTAGCTTGCAAGTAAAATTGATTTAAATTGCACTTATAAAATTCTACCAAATTATCACTAAATCTAATGATTTACTCTAAAGTTAATTTTATTGAAGTTAAATAAATTGAGTAAGATTAAGTTATGAAAAATACCCTCCCCTTGTAATGAAGTAAGTAATTTGTGTAGAAATGGTACACTTAGAATGTAGATTATAATTAGTGACAAATTGGAGCATTCCTCTTCTTTACTCTCTTTCAAGTGTGTAAAGAAGTTTGGTTTAATTAGGTAAGTGTTTCTGCCCGCCACCCTAAAAACCTCATAGTTACCCCCATCAAAACCTATCTCCCTATCCCGCCACCTCATAGTTACCCCCATCAAAACCTATCTCCCTATCTATGGACTATTTTTCCTTCACCCATTAATGCAATGTTGTTTCTACTAGCTGTTAAAGTCATAGCCCTCTCGGATCATTATAGATTCACAACAAATTTTAATGTACAAATTGGTCAGATTGATAAGTAAATGAAGCATGAAGTTAAAACCATCACAATAATGAATAATAACTCATTCTAAATGTGTCCACATATCCTACACATATTACTATTTCATCACAAGAGAAAGGTAAAAAGGATCTACGTACAATGCATGAAGAAACACAACAATTAATTATCTTATAATAAAGAATATTCATATACAATGAGTTTACAATTAATATAAGACAATATATAATGAAAAAATTATCGTTATCCCTAAAAAAAGAAGTGAAAACTCCTCTCCAAATGATCTACAAGCGTTACTTCCACTGCTTACAACAATCCTTTACAATATCCTCTCAATTCTTTCACATCTTTCACATAAAATGCAGGAAAATACAAAATCTCACTTTAAACTCTACTTTCCTGCATATTTAGTCTCTTTCCATCACTTCACAAAATGATCCTCGTCACTGTTAAAATTTATTTTCCACATTCATAACCTCCAAATTCGTCCATAACTGCTGTAGAAATTGTACAAGTTAGTTTTGGTGCCTAGGTGCCACCTTCTTGGGTAAGCATGGAAAATAAATGGCCCCTAGGCGCCAGTTTGTTGTGCCATGACACCATGTTCTCTATTTTCTGGACATCAACTGACCCCTAGGCACTCATCTGCGTTGCCATGGCGCCATGGACTGGTGCCTAGACGCCAACTTGTTGTTGCTTCATTACTTCATTTGCCTCCATTTCACTCCGTTTTCACTCCAATTTACTCCAAATCTCTTATATTTTATGTCTGCAACAAAAATATGGAAATACCTTCCTTTAAAGTGTAATTTCATAAATAAAATAAGCACTAAATATAAAAGAAAAATAGCATGCTACAAGACATGTCACATATCACCAAAAAAAGGTCATCTAGAAGAACCTCAAAAATCATAACACTGAAAATAATAGAAAAACTTGTTTGCCTTCGTTAGGTTTTCACACGTGACACCAACCAACATCGGTAAACGGGCTATCCAGAAGAACTCATAAGGTCAAACATCTCATCTTAGACATCCCAAACCCACCAAAAGAAAAATAAAAGAAATGTAAAAGGAAAAAAACACTTACAAATAGTGTGAAAATAATTAATATCAAATAAAGAAAGAATGGAAGTAAACATGAACTGTATAAAATACAAATAAAATAAATTTTGAAACTCTTCAACAATCATTACAATTAATAATATACTGAATACTCAAATCACCTTTCTACTATCATATCCGTAATTCATTCCCTCAACTCTGCCATCTTGATTACACTTTCCTCATCTTTAGTATAGGTCTTGGGAACATTATTTTCATCATGTGACAAAGATTGTCCAAGACGGTACTCAAATGCTTCGGTAGGGACAAAGCCATCAAGACCTCAACACATCTACCACAGCATCACCACCACCACCACAACCACCTCCACACACCAAGACATCAACACATCAACACATCTATAACACCACCACCACCACCACCACCACCTCCAAACACCAGACATCAAGACAACACTGCAATCGCCATATTTGAGGGCATTTGGTCGATGTGATGAGGTTGTGTTTGGGAAAGCCAACTTCAATACATAATAACACCACTAACATCACCATAAAAAAACAATACTTTTCATCACGAACAACACCACCAGAGCAACAACCAACGTCACAAAGCAACCATATTTGACCAACATCGCTGTAGAACATCACTAAAATTTTAGGCATCATCAAAATCTTAGGAAACAACACAGTAACCACCACCACCACCACCACCACCCAAATAATTTCCGACAACATCACAATGACCATCATCACAACCAAAAAAATTTCAAGCAACATCACAATAACCACCACCAAAAAAATTTTGGGCAACTTCATTATAACCACCACCACCACCACTCAAACCATTTCAAGCAACTTCACAGTAACCACAACCACCACCCAAAATATTTTGCAAACCAAATAGAACACAAAGAGCCCAATATCACCAAAAATTACAAAATCAAGCCAAATAGAACATAGAGAAGGGAAACAATCAAACAAAATAGAATGAAGAGATGTCAATATCACAAACAACCCACCACAACACCACCACTAAAGAAAATCGCAAAATCTAAATCACAGAACATACAAAATCCAACACTAATGCACAACCATCCGAGTATCATCAATCGAATAGAGCTTAGAGAAGCTAAAATGATTGCAAAATCAAAATGCCATAATAGATAATGGTAGAGAATACGATGGGCTGACGAAGAGAAAATGAACCGAACATAGCTGAAGAATGGAGGGTATAGGGAGAGGAGAAGAAAACAAACCCTTGCCGTGAGAGCCACAGATCAGGGAGGAGGAGGAAAGCCGATGTTACCTTTAGGGCAGAATTGTGAGAGAGGGGAGAGCGGGACACAAAAGCGAAGAGCTCGAGAGAGAGAGAGAGAGAGGAGGGCGTGCCATGAGAAGAGCCTAGGGTAGGGCAGTAAGAGCAGAAGATAAATGAAAAACGAAACACGAGCCATCAGGTCGAACCTGCGGCCGACGTTTATTATGTATTGCAACCGACTTTTTCAAAACACATACTAAACACAATATCCAAACGGGCATTTTTCAAAATGTGTTGGGCCAAAAAAGTTGCCCAAACAGGCTCTTAATCTTGTACACAAAATGCGGAAAGTGCTGAGGAGATGATTGAGTTGTGAGAGCACATTATAAATGTATTAGTTAATGGGGTGAAATTATGATGTACGTTACTTTTTCTTTATTTATTTTTAATGTGGTGTGAAAACACTTAATGTCTGTTGTAATGACTCTCTATGCATTGATATTCATGTGGAATCTTTTATTTGTTGCATTGTTTTTTTTTTTTTCATTTCTTTAGCATGAATTTTATTCCACTTGAATGGCCTTCTAGGCCACCGTGGATGTAATATAAATTTTTTTTGTATATTATGTTTTTGTTTGGAGGTCTATTATGAGATATATGACCTTAGAGAATCTTGTTGATGACCTTTTTATTGCTATTAATTTTAACATATAATAGATCGGCACAAAGATAATCGTTCCCCTTCTTTTTTAGTTGTATGAACATTGGGGCTCTTCTGAAGAGCCTTCGTGCTGATACGCTTCTATGACATATACGAGCTCGACATTACGTGTGTTAAAATAAACCAAGAACCTCTTTCTATATGATCTTCTATCTTCTTATAATGATAGATTAATCTTCAATTTACCTTTGCCCTGAGACCTCATGGTTTCTTAAATTTTTATGTATGCATTTTTGTTATTCATAGTAATTGATTATTTCATATAATTGTGTATTGTTGTACTAATAAAGCAAACTCATTTTATGTTTGTGGTTTTTAATTTTTAAAAGAGAATTTTGACTTCTTTAAGTCGAATGATTAGTTTAACGATTGTACATCAGAGACGTGGAGAACATCTTTGAAGAAAAAGTTATATCGTAAGATTGATCATTTGCATTTAAAAATTAATATTTCAATAATGTTAGTTGTTATTTCAATATTTTTATTTTTTATTTTGATTGTTGCTTTAATCACTATTAAGTGAGACATCTATTTTACATGTAATATTTATACTTATAGTTTTTGAAGAGTTTGAATTTAATTTATATTTTTATGTATGATTTATTTAATATAAAATTATTATCTTACAAACACAACAATACATAAATAATATTATTTTTTTAACCGTGCATAATTATATAATATAATACGCTAGTTTTCTGGTAGTAATTTCTGCCAGCTCGAGGCAACAACGTCAATAGGGCTGTCAAAACGACTCGTTGTTAGCGAACAGCTCGTGTTCGGCTCGTTCGCTAAATTTTACGAGCCGAACACGAACAACACATATTCGTTCGTGTTCGGCTCGTTTTGGCTCGAAATACTACTAATCAGTTATATATATATCTTTGATGAGTAATATTTTTTAAAAATTTAATTGACTACAAGGCTACAGAGATTTATAATAAATTAAAAGTATTAATGAAGAAAATAGAATAAAAATTATTAAATTAGATTCAAATAATGTTTTAAATCTTGTCTGAGTCTTTAACATTTTATGGATACATTATTAGGATTGTCAAAATGACTCTTTGTTTGTGAACAGCTCGTGTTCGGCTCGCTAAACAAATAAGTCGAATACGAACATACTTTTTGAGTAAAAAAACCCGAACCTAAACACTTCCGCATCATCTTATTGCGTGCGGACACGCATGTGGCGTCCGATCCTGTGATCTACGATTAGAATTATTTCGTTTTAAAAAAAAAAAAAAAATTTCGGTAGAGCACAGCAAAATACGTTGGGACCATAGATCTCGTCATCGGATCCGCATGGAATAATTTTTCCTCCGACGGGCTTCTATCACTGGTTCTTTTTTTCATTCTACTTCGCTTCTTCTTTGTTTCTTTACTACGGTGCTCTTCTCTTTCCATTTGCTTCCCCCAAACCAATGGCGAGATTCGTAGCGCGGGCTCTCCCGATCACTCCAACGAGATTCTCTCTTTCATTTGCGCCACCAATCGCCGCCGCTCTTCGGCCATTGCCTATGGCGTCGAAGGAGAGTCTTTCCGTTATATTTTCTCCTCCGGCTATTATGCCGCTCCTTTCCGTTTCTTGCCCTAATAGAAACTACTTTGTATCAACACCGACTTTGAGGCCTCCGCTTCCACCCAGGGGTGTCGGAGAGAATGTTCGAGGTTATAGAAAGGGGAGGTGGAGGCGGAGGCCCGTGGCAAGGAAGAAATTAAACAAAGAGAAGCAACCGGAGCTTGTTGTTAGGATCTGCATTGAAGAAGATTTGCCCGACGATCCTGAAATTACGGTACACATCGTGCTCTTTTTCCTTGATTTTACTTTGAGACTTGGGGTCTTTTTGGGCCCGAAGCAGCTATTTGATGATACAGTTGTGAAGAAGCTTTCCGTACAGAAAGCTGTGGCGGCTATTATTATTATTTATTTTTGAAAAAGTCAGATCATAGCTTGCTAACACCCACCACACATTCACACAGCTCTGTCAAATAGAAGAATTACGGTGTAACATCGCACTGACGCCTCAAACACACCCTTAATTTTGTTAGAATTTGCGGTAGTGTTCGTACTTTTTGTTATTTGTACTTTGGTTGCTCACTAAAGTGCATTCTTAGGCTTCATATAGCTGTGCTTTAATTGTTTTCTATTTTAATTTCTTTTTATATATATCTGAAATATTAGAAAAACCATTATGTTGAACATACATATTTTCATGGACATATGTAACAACTTATCCATATCATTAGGCTTTAAAATAACCGTACATAAGAATCCTTAATTCAAACATGGTGGATAGAGTTGAAGGAGTCAACTTTATTCATGGATGGTGGCTAGCCTATAGCTTTTTTTGGTGGTGGTGGTTTTTGGTCCAAATCAGTTTATGAGCTTTTCCTAAGTTTTTATACCATCAAGGAAGAGAGAGATGTGAGAAGAGATTGGAGGTGGAGTATGTATCTCAGATTCACTATATATCTTAGATCTAGAAAATACAATCATAGGATGACCCTCTAAAGCAAGAAAATACTCAAATGCATGAGTAAAAAGAGAGAGAGAGTGAGAGTGAGAGAGAGACCTAAAGAAGAAGATTTACAAAGAAAGAGAGTACCGTCCAAAGAGATGCCACTTCAGATCTCCTTGAGATCCCTTTATTTATGGGAGGATATGGTAAAGACTTTATAATAAGCAATATATGGATAATAAAATATATGACAAGAGGTGTATAGTCTAGAAGAAACTGACTTAGGCTGTGGCCAATAGCTGGCTATGTGGATAGTTGGTAGTCAGTATTCGATACTCTATATTCGACAGTCCGTAATCAATACTTCATACTAAACACTACATACGCGATACACATAATTTGATAGTCAACACATTTCCTTGTCATTCTTTTGGGTGAGTTTGCCCCGGAGATATATACTTGATTATCTGAATCTCTTGTATATTTGAATGTTAACAAGAAAATGAATATGAGAATGAAAAAAAAAATGTTTATTGCTCATTAGTGGGGCTTATACATTCTTATTTTTTTGTGGGACAAGATTGACTTTATTGCATGCCTAGCTATGTAGTCTACTTGCATGAGATTAGTTCGAATTTTTATTGATAATTTTCCTATTGCTCGGGAGGAGTTTTGTTCTGTAGGTCATTCCTTATACTTTTAGATGTCAACAAATTAATAAAATGATTTTTCCTACTTGAGTCGATCAGAGCTATTGGGCGAAATATTATAAATTTTCCTACTTATATAAGTTATACTCATTAATTAATTTTCTTTGTTATTGAGTCGATCAGAGCTATTGGGCGAAATATTATAAATGCCAAGTTGGTCTTCTGTGACAACTTTGGGCCCGTCTTGGGCCGATTTTTGGCGCGACGTGGCACCAAACCGCACTCCAATTTTTTTCCCGTTTGTTTAATTCATTTTCGGGCTCGGTGGGAAAAAATCGCGGAATGCGGGCCACAGGTTTGACTTTGCGGCATTTGATTCCTATTATTACGCTCTCGCTCTTTACTGCTTCCCCCCTCTATCTTGAGCGACCTTCTCCCTCGCCCCTCTCGCGACCGCACGGACATCTCCCTCCCCCTTTCGCGACTGTGCCGACATTTCCCCTCCCTCTCTCGCGATCGAAAGGTGAGAATGCCTGCTTCTCCCTCCCCCTCTTTCGCTTGAACCATTCTTCTGTGTTGGATCTGTTAATCTGCTGGGTTTTATTTAGTTGTTTGGATCTTTGTTAAAGTTCTTCGTTTCTGATGGTTCATTTTGGCTCTATTATTCCTTGTGTATTGTTGGGTTTTCTTCAGTCGTTTGAGCTGTGAATTTTCATGAATTACGAATTTTTATGATTTTTGGGTTGCCTGAGAATTAACACCCCCAAGCCATCCTTATGACTTCACCGTTATTTGACATATTGTCCATTCAATATTCGTTATGAACTTTCTTAAGGATAGCCAAGATAATGCTCAAGCTAGTATAAATTCATGTGATAACACAAGACAATGGTACCAATAGATATAAAGCTCCATGTCAGTTATCCATCAAAAGTACTAAAATTTCAAAGTTAATGTGAAAGTATGCCTTGCTATTTATCTATATATGAAGGCCCCAGGCGTGAGATATGTAACATACAAAAGAATTCTGTGATATGCACGTAAACTCTCCACAATTCTATGATATGCTGTGGAATAATTCTTCTGTTATTTTTCATAATTTTATGCTTTCTTTGCTTTAGAAGCTGAGAAAGATTGATTAACAAGTTTTGGAGATGTCAGAAGCTTTTGTTGTTTGGCAATAACTTACTTTTTATAGTAAAGATGAAAGTGCTTTCATGCGTCAGTCTTTTAGTTTTATACTCTTTTTTTTATTTTCATGGGAAAAATATAAATGAAGCATTGCACCGATGTTGTGGGTTGTTGGGTTGGTGGGCTGCGGTTGTCTCTGTGGCAGTGGGTTGAGGTGTTGTGGGTATGACTTTGGGGTGATGTCTGTGCTTCTAGTGGCTATGTGAAATGTGGTGATATTTCCTATAATCTAAGATGTGTACATGTGGCTGTGGGCTGGGTTGTGCTTTGTGGTGGCTGTTGGTTTTGTTTGTGGGCTATGGTTCTTCGTGGTTCAGTGGTGGCTATGGGCTTTGGGGTGGTGGCTGTGCTTTGTGGTGGCTGTTGGTTGTAGTTCTTTGTGGTGGCTGTTGGTTGTGGTGATGACTGTTGGTTGTGGTGGCTGTGGGTTAGTTTGGTGGCTGTGGTTGGCTCTATGATAGTGGTTGAGGTGCTGTGGGTGTGGTTTTTGAGTGGTGTCTGTACTTCTGGTGGCTGTGGACTTGGGTGGTGGTCTGTGGGTTATGTGGTGGCTGTGTGTTATGTATTTGTATGGCTTGGGTCTGTGGGTGGCCGTGGGTTTGGATGGTGGCTATGGGTTGTGTGGTGTGGTTAGGTTTGGGCGGTGTTTGGTGGGTTGAATCTATATGTGACTGTGGGTTGTGTTGTGTGGTTGGGTTTGGGCGGTAGTTTGTGGCTTGGGTCTATGGGTGGCTGTGGGTTGTGTTTCTATGTGGCTGTGGCTTGGGTGGTGGTCCGTGGGTTGGGTTTGTGGCTGTGTGCGACTAATTTTTGTGATGTCGTTCTGTCAAATTTTAATGTTTTGTTTTTGTTTTTGTGCTAGTAAATCAATAGTTAAGACTAAAGAAGCAGGTTCTTCAGTAATGTGGGATACGAAAGCCAAACTCATACTTTGCGACCTTTGTCTTAAGGAGTTTGATTTTGGAAATAGGTTCATCACCTATTTTAATAAAGAAGGGTTCAAAATAATATGAATAAATTTAAGGAAATAACAGGAAGGGAGCACGCCGTGTTGCAACTTAAGAATAAGCGGGATCAACTGAAGGACTGAAAATTATGGAAGGAACTAAAACGGTGATGCACGAATTTGGGCTAGGATCTAATGAAACAGATAATAGATGCTTCAGATGACTGGTGGACTAAGAAATTAGAGGTAATAACCTACGCGATGATTACTTGTTTTTCCATTCTTTATCCCACTAAGCTGTTTTAAGTAATAGACTTGCTTGTATATTGCAAGCAGTGCCAGCAACTAAGAAATTCAAATTCATTGGTATTGAGTCTGACCATGAGAAGTTGGATCGTATGTTCAGTGAGATTGTTGCAACGAGTACTCATGCGTTCGCCCTAAGTGATCATGGGTTTGCAAGCATACGAGAGGACTTGGAGACCGAGCAGGTAAGTGGGTCTGGTGAAGGTCACACCTTAAACCAAAAGGAGCTAGAGTCCACATGCCGATCAAAGCGGACTATGGTGGAGAAAAGGAAAAAAAAGGGTTGCATTCGTCAGAAACCAAATAACAAAACTAGTGGAAGCATGCACAATTCAGGCTGATACTTCACATGACACCTCCATAGACGATTTTCTCCGAGTTTTCGAGACATATCCCGAAGTTTATGGGGATAAGCCGTTGTATCTGAACTCTTTGAAGTTGTTGGAGGACCCAATCCGCAGACTGATATTCATGAATATGCCACCCTTTTTGTAGGGTCAATTATTTACATTTTTTTATGGACAACAAGGACAATTGATTTTGTGGAGTTATTGTTTAGTGGCTTTGTCTTTTTTTCCATTTGTTTCATGGGATATTTGAGTTGGATATTTTTCTTCTAGCACGAACAATCTATATGTTGCCTTGTATTTATATTTGATTTGGATGTTTTTCTTTCTAGCACAAATCTTTGATTACTGTTTTTGTCAATCTGTACTTATGTTATGACTTATGGATTATCTTTTGAAAGACGAGCTCTAGGATTTTAGGTACCTCCCGACGATTACTCTGCCACTGCGGATTTCAGGCTTCCCTACTGACGTCACCTCAGTCACATAGTTAAGAAAGACAATTTTACAGGTGCTAGCGGAGAATCACGGATAAGTGGCTTCTTCCGTTGGGCAGAGAGTCTGCCAGATTCCACCGCTGACAGTGATCGGGGTTGGATGATATCCTGGAGGACAATGTAGCTAAGGACATAAGCCGTCCACATTTTAAAACTAATATTATCATATTTTTAAATTTTATTTTAATAGTTTTTTTTAGCAATATTGATACTCACTGTTAAGTGAGAAGTATATCTTATTTTTTTACTGTTATAAAGTGAATTTTTGGCCCCCTCAAGTATCAAATATATTACTATGACAGTTCTGT